TTGTAGCCCTGGTTCTTCGGAACCAGAGTCTGCCTGTTTCTTAAATATTGCAAAATGTCCCTAGCCTCCGGCACAGAAGCCTGAACACCTTGACCTCTCAGTGTTTCACATCTGAAAGTGCAGTGTTCAGAACTTAGAAGCTGACATGGACCGCTTGGTTCACATCCAGGCTCTTGCTCCCTCTGCAGTAGTGGGGCTTGCTTGGTAGAGGGCCCCGGGTAACAGCGCTGCCCCAGGATGAAGAATGTGTCAGGAAGCCTTTCAGAATGTCGTACTGCCATGAGGGTAAGCCCGAGTTCTGATTGTTGTTCATCGACAAGTTTGTCTACATCCAAGGAGTGTGCTTGGTAGCAAGGCAGTGCAGAAAGGGCGCAAAGGGACTCCTTCATGGGGTCTTCCTCGCAGTCTCATGATGCACCTTGTGTAGTGCCTATCCATTGGCGCAGTGATATGCATGCCGGTCGCTGCCTCTCTGGGAATATCAAAGTGGGCAACATGGCCGTGGCCCTTGCCTGTATGTAATGTGTGAAGTGAGAAGTGAGTCATGTGTCTGTTTTCTGATGAGTTCCGTGTGTGTGTGTGTGTGTGTGTGTGTGTGTGTGTGTGTGTGAGCATGCACATGTATGCTCTTACAAGTTGGCTTGGACAGCTGTCTCCTACTCAGAATGTGTTTTGGTCATTGCAAGTGGCTGATAGCGTAAGTGGAAGGGAGAGCTAGATAGTGAACCCCACTAGGTAGTGAACCCCACTAGATAGTGAGCCCCACAGTGGGTGTGAGGACCCACGCATCACAGCATCACAGCAGCATCACATTGTGTGGAAGGTGACCTAGAGTAAGGTAGGCCATGGTTTGGGGTCTGGAGCCTTGGTGTTTCTGTCTGGCCTGATATCTGGCCCGTGACCTCTTCCAAAAGAGGAGGTTGGTGCAGAACTCGCTGCTTGCCTCCTGCCTGGACAGTGTTTGAGGAGATGCTTTCAGAGCCCATGGAGTCTATTCCTCCTGCTCCTCCTCAGTCAGGTCCACTAGTGGTAGGGCCATGGAAAGAACCTGGCTCTCTTAGGTGTCACCCTGAAACGGTTGTTCCTCAGTGATGTGGACCTTGACTTGCAGCCCCAGGTTCTTGGTGTGCGACCCTGTCCACCTTCATTAGGAACTGTGTGACCAAAGTCAAAGTGGAGCATCCCCTGTTGGAAACTCGGCTCCCTGGTGCTTTGCCATCACTGAACGTTACTCTTTAAAGCTTAGGACAGTGAAGCTAAGCCCCAGCATTTCCATTCGTCTCCCTGGCTGCCATCAGTGTAACAAAAGGGATTTATTGACTAGCCAGCTCAGGTCTCTCCAGGAAGGAGCCATCCAAGCGCCATGAACATCCGGAAGGTCCAGGATATCTCTGTGGGGATCGACACGGATTCCAAGAGGCTGGTCAGCCTACAGGTCACCTGAAGGGTGGAGGCTGCCTCTCAGCAGATGGAGAGGCCTCATCACCTCTGCTTTCTCTTCCCCCCAGCAGCTGAAGCTCCATCCACTTCCAAACATGCAGGGAAAGCTATGGCGCTCGTGGTTCTCAGTTCCCTCCCCCAGGCTGGCAGGATCTGGAAATTTGAAAAAGATAACCTACATTGCTAGACCTGCTTAAACAGGTCCGGGAGCCCTCCTTGGCCAACCACAGGAGTACCCGGATCATCCATTGCCATTCTTTCTCTCCGGCTTTTCCTCTTGTTGACTTTATGTGAACCCCATATGTGAGGAAGAAATACAGCCTCTTACAGAGCCTCAACTCTCCTGCACAGTCTCAAGGTCACTGCTCTATTGCTGTAAAGAGACACCATGACCCACGGCAACTTGTCAAAGGAAACATTTGGGGCTTGTTTGCAATGTCAGAGAGTTGGTCCATGGCCACCATGGAGGGGAACGTGGTGACATGCCAGCAGGCATGGCTCTGGGACACTGTCTGAGAGACTGTATCCTGATCTGCAGGCAGTTAGCAGAGAGAAAGAGACTAGGTCTGGCAGGCACTTCTGTAACCTCAAAGCCACCTGCAGTGATGCTCCTCCTGCAGCAAGGCCTCACCTCCTGGTCCTTCCTAAACGGTCCACCAACTGGGAACCAGACATTCAACCGTGTGAGCCCCGTTCAGCCCACCACTGGCCTAACAGCAACGGGAAAAGGAAACAAAAATGGAAACCATAAAATTGAACGGCAGAAGAGAAGCTTGTCAGATATTTCAGTTGGGATACTAGAAATTGGTTTTGCTCTAGGAGCCAGCACTTCCTTCTGGAATGATCTCTGCTGGCTCCATGTTTAGGAAGGAGCCTAGGGGAACCTTTCATACGGGAGGCAGCTGTTGGTGGCAGAGTCTCCCAATCTCTTTTTGGATGGCTGATTTCCATCTAATGCCTATGGCCTTTCTTTGTGTGCACAGTCTGGGCTGGGGTTAAGCTTCCTTCCATCCCATCCCTAGAGACAGCCTTGGTCTCACCAGTGATCCATATTCCTAGCCTTTCTCCATCATCTTACTTGGTCAAGGCCCTTCAGTGCTTGCCTGTCATTACAGTTTCAGCTCCTCACAGGGGACTGTGGGAAACTCTGAGGTTTTGCAGTGACTCCCGAGAGCTGGAGTGGGAAGACATGTCTAACTTTAGATATGCTAAGTCCATTATCTTAAACTAGCCTGGAAAATGCCCTAGGTTCACCAACTTATAGGCTCGGGGAATTTGTGGAAAATCTTTAGAATATCTAGAAAACGAAGAAGAAATAGTCACCTCCAAAAAGTAAAATCAATGGTGTTTCCAAAGCCTGCTGAAGTCATTCACCTTTAAGTATGGGCATAGAAATCTTAAAATAGTAGCAAGTGTGATCCTGCCACAGAGTCAAAATGTGGTACTTGCATTACTGTGGCCTTTTCAAATGGCCAATCATTTAAAAAAAATCTCTTAAAATTAATTTTATTACAACTCAAAGGAAAAAAACACGAAGTGTAATCCAGTCAAAATGGAAATTATACAGTGACATTAAAGTTTATTCTTACAATTATAAGAATAGCCAGGAAATTCTATAATGGAATAGTGGCCAGGAGCTTGCTGTACTAATTATTAACATTTACTTCAAAGCTGTAATATGAAAAGAGAGGGTACTGTGACCAAATGGATCAACTGAACTAAATTGAAAAATCTCAAAATAGACCCCATGCTCATGATAGGTGAGTGATAAAGCCAGGTGTGCTGGCTCACACCTGCAATCCCAACACTTGGGAAGTGGAGGCAGGAGGTTCCTTTTGAGTTCAAGGTCAGTCTGGGCTATGTAGGAAGACTCTCAACAATAAGATATAAAAGCAGTGTTTCAAATCAGTAAAGAGAAAGGATCATTTTAAAATTTATAACTGCATTGGCATTATTAAAACAATAATTTTTTCCTCTTTTTGCTAACATCTAAATTGATTAAAAACAAAAGTTGTAACATGAAAAGATTTAATTGAAATTCTCTAATAAAATTCTGTTCAAAGAGGGTGGAGAGATGACTCAGCATTTCAGAGCAGTGACTGCTCTTCCCAAGGACCTGGGTTCAATTCCCAGCCCCCACATGGCAGCCTAAGACTCTAGGGGTTTTCTGACACTCTCACACAGACACACATGCAGGCAGAACACCAGTGCACATAAAATTTAAAGATTATTTAAAAAATTCTGTTCAATAACCATACATGACTGTGGAGGATAAACTATGAATGAAAAGCCTCATTTACCCTCCTTTATTGTCCTGAAATTATATATTCCAAAGCAAAATAGAAAACCTACCGTCCAGTTGCCAGCGCAGACGGCAAAAATAAAATACAGACAGATGAGAAGCTGGGAATAGTTTGTACCAGACTTGGCAGATAGGAGGCCAGTGTTTGGAGTATATGAGGGCTTCTAATTTGTTAAAATAAAGGTGGACTATTAAGTCAATGGCAAATGTCAAACATCTTGGCAACTTCATGTTCATGATGATCAAATCCTGTTCTAGGCAGTTACTCTCAGGAAAGAGTGCAGACATTCGTTTGTGTGATTATGTCATGAGATGCTTCTTTCTTCAGAGTTCTCTCTCAAAGCTGAGAAAGACTAAAAGAGACAGGAAGAAGGAAGAGGGTGGGAGGTAAGAGTGAAGGACGGGAACAGGGAAGAGAGCGGCGAGAAAAGACGCAGAGGCAAGGCCAAGAGGCGAGGGAGAAGGAAAGGAGAGAAGGGAGGAAGGACGAGAGGGCCTCAAACGTCCAGTTACAGGATCGTTAAGATCAGGTGTGCTGATGGATGCCAACAATAAAGGGAAATTAGTACAGGTGGCAATGGCCAGCAGCCGTGTGGGGGGCCAGGTTCGCAGCATTAAGTCCAAGAATATTATTTAATGGAAGCAAATACATGGAAATATATTGACAAATATATATTCAAACACACCCTTGGTATTCACAGGCTTCATGCTGGTTTTCTCTGAGTCAGTGAGTTAGAGTTGACCTGACCCAAATCCGTGTACACATTTTCTCTTTTCCAGTGATCATGTTTTAGATTTTTAGCCACATCCGTCGACTCTGTGGATGTTAGGTTCCTGTTCTGACTGCTCTCTTCTTGTCCCCGTGTTACCACCTCAGAATTCCTAGACTTGTGTCACACACCACCTCAACTTTGCCCTTTAGCTTTCCCGAGTACCATCCGTCACCACAAGGAAAGTCTGAGCATTCCTGAGACAGGACTGGGGCCTGGTGATTAGCTTTCGGGTCAAGCTGAGTGGAGGTGGGGTGGACTCAGATCTGCTCCCTCCAAGGACTGGGAAGACAGGCACTGGGGACAGAGGCTTGCCTGAGGCAGCTGGAGAGCTGAGGAAGCTGGAGGGACCACGAACAGTACCTGAGAGCAATGGTGACCAGCACTGGGGTGGGCAGGGGAGCGAGCACAGGCTCCTCCCCCATTTCTTGTTTCCGGGATGATTGTCGTGTTAACCTGTACTTTTTGTCTCTGTATCACATGGACAGGTACTCACATTCCCGAGGACCAACCCTGCTGTCGCGGTCTCTATGACTTTGAGCCAGAAAACCAAGGAGAATTAGGATTTAAAGAAGGGGACGTCATTACACTAACCAATCAGATAGATGAAAACTGGTACGAAGGAATGCTGCGTGGGGAATCCGGCTTCTTCCCCATAAATTATGTGGAAGTCATTGTGCCTTTACCTCGGTAAAATGTGTCTGTTGGACCTGATTTCGTAACTGAAATGAATTTGCACCCGTGTTTCTTCAGTGTGTTCTGTGACACCCTCCCTCTCTGGCCCACTTAGTCACTTTTGTATGTGTGTTTTCTTTAAAATGTATTTTGTATCAATTTAATTTGTGTAATCGATTTCTTTGTCCTAACTCATAAAGATAGTTTTCTTCTTGTTCTAAAAAGTCATTGGTTAAATGTATGTGCTTCCTGTTGCTAAGAAAAGTAAATTGCGCCCATTTCAGACATGTGAACAAATGGCCTGTCTGGTCCTTAGCTGCAATGGAGCGCGCCCTTTGCAGCTAAGAAAGTTAAACAGTTTGTTTCTTGAGGTTTTGATGGCATCCCGTCTCTTCCTGTTTTAAGCTTACCTGTGAACAGCCCAATAAACATGACACACTGTGTTCATAAAAGACTACGGCTGTTTTTTATGTTAAATTGTTTTTTAAGCATGGACTTCAGCACAGATCCCTCCTGTGCCCCTCGACTGACCCGGTCCCACACGGGGTCTTTAGATGATGGTGTGGCCCTTTATCCGCCACCGATTTAAACGTGGTTCATCCTTTCTTCAGCCCAAGACTAGTAAACCTCCTCGCCTAGTGTTAAGTTTATAAAACAGCCCACATCAGCTTTGTCTGCTGTCACACGTGGTCAGGGATGTTTTCAAGCCGAACCATTGTGGATGCTGAGGCAGGAGCATGGTCTCTTGGACGGAGTGTCCGATAACTTAGGTTTACGGAACAGCCTAGGTCTTACCCTGAGTGTGACTTCGTCATGTGCTGTGGCTCAGTGGAGCCCACAACAACCCTGCCACACAAAGAAGAGGCAGCCATTGCTCCCCCTTGCAGAGAAGGTTAGTCGTGAGTGGCTCACCCAGGGTCCAACAACCAAACCGTGGCAGAAGCAGAGCTTGAACTCTGACTACTGTAGTGGATTCTGGCACCTGAGTGTCCGTCAGTCACTGGGACCTGCCCTGTTGATCCCCGGCATTTGTAACCAAAGCCCAGAGGCCAGATTGGTCCCCCAAGGTGACCTAAGTTGTTTTCTAGTCTCCTGAGCTCCCTTTCTTAACAGGTTCGTGTGCGTGCGCGCGCGCACACACACATACACACACACACATGTGCCTTGTACATTCAGTGTCTACTGGGAGTGGTAATTCTAAACATTCACAGGATATTAACTGGCAAATCTGTTCTAAGCAGCATCTGTGAAGTGGCCACAACACTGTCCTATGTTGTCCCCTTGGTGCCCTTCTTCAGATACTAGGATTACGTCACAGAGGGCCAGGTCACTTTTCTGGCCACACAGTCAAGTGTCAGAGCTGAACTTTTAATTCACAGTCGTTCCCCACGCCCATGGTCTTCACCCTTCCAGAATGGTTCTCATGATATCTTTTCTCCGTGTAAAGTCACAAACAAGCCTGTTTTCCTACCCGGCTGTTATTCTTGGTTTGCTTTATTAGAAATTTACTTGAGAAACCCAGCGGCACTCCCCATGCTTGTAATTGACTGGAATAGCTTGTTTAGGGGAAATAAGTAATAATTGAACTTAATTGAGAGCTACAGATTAATTTCTAATAACTGAAAGAATTTAGCAATTTACATCAGATCATTTAAAAGCAATTAAAAATAGAACTTGGTTAATGGCCAGACAGCTGCCGAGGAAGGGGCAGAGACTGTGCCTGTGTCATATGCCTGGTGTCTTCCACGGGCTTTTGGCCTCAGCTCTTTGGCAGGGTCCCCTCTCTACATGATGTTAGTGGAGAAGGCTGGCACAGACTTGCCACCAGCTGCTTCGATCCAGCTGTCAGAGCCTTTCCTCGTGAGTTCCTGTCTCAAGGCCCTCGCAGCTTTCTGGACTCTGCTGCCTTCCTGGTTTGCTTCCTAATGCTACAGTAAAGACAGTGAGCAAAAGCAAGCTGAGGAGGGAAGGGGTTATTTTATCCCACGGACTATGTAGTTCATCATGGTAAGAACCTGGGGCAGGAACCTGGGGCAGGAGCCTGGGGCAGGAGCTGCCACAGAGACCTGGAGGAAGGCGGCTTACTGACTTGCTCAGTCTGCTCTATTATAGAAACCCAGGGCCATCGGCAGGCATTTTCTCAGCCGAGGCTCCCTCTTTCCCGATGACCCTAGCTTGTGTCAGCTTGACAAAGTAAGGAGCACACAGCCCGGCTTGCACTGAGTTTTCTGTTCTCATCATTAAGAAGGTCATGTGAATTTTCTTCTATCGGAAAAAGGGTCCCTGACCTTTCAGATGGCTAAACAAGTTTGAACATTAAATAGCATTATTTTTCTAATTGTGAAAGGTAATGCAGATGTATTAGAGGACATTTCAGGCTGTCGTTAAAGTTATGAGGGAAATTACTTTGGAGTGCACAACCCCAAAAGAATTATTGTTGTGGCGGTTTTCACTGTGTTCTTCCCATATTGCCCTTGTACATTTTTGGATTCATGTGTGTGCACAAATGGGAGTGTGTAGTGTGTTTTCAACTTTGTATGTTAATTGAAGACCTAGGGCCTTGAACTAGCTATATAATAATTTATTGTGTGGGTGCATAAATTCTAACTAGGTTTCTGCTCTTCCACATTTCCAGTTTCCTGGTCAATTTTAAACTTATTTTAAATGGGTTAAAAGGACAATCAGACTGAACTTGGATTTATGTTGATTTGGTGTATGAATTAATTATTAAATTATTAAAGTACCTCTATTTCCTGAAGGTTGTATGACTGTGCTGTTGGTTACATTTCCATATTGCTTTCTATGACATTACGTCAATTTACATTACCACCTAGAGTGTCGTGGCACTCCCCCTTTTCCAACCCCTCATCACCTCTTATCACTTGTCTCTGATAATGTGAGGTGACAGTCATTTCCCCTTACTGCAGGGGATATACCCCACACACACGCACATGAGAGAGAGAGAGAGAGAGAGAGAGACATACGGAGACATAGAGACAGAGATACACATACACAGAGAAAGAGACAGAAATACAGACACACACACAGATTCTGCCTATGTGGTTTGTGTGCACAGATTTAGTGCCCTTCCATCTTAACTAAGCATCTTCCATGTACTGTGGCTCTCACGTCTGTTGTCTGTGGTGGGATGGTAAAGTAATTTTGTCTTCACAATTTCATAGATTCTACCACAGATTTTTATCAACCTTAGCACATGATTAATTTACCTATTAAGAAGCTCCTAATTTTTGCTTAAATCAAACACCTTACAGCTTTTCCCAAGTTGGAGTTGGCATCTCCAACTTCGTACTGAGGATGTATTAGGAAGGGCATATGCAGTACAGTAAATATTGCTTCAACACAAGTGCTGCTATTCCACTGCAGGAGATTGACAGCAGACACCTTGCTAAGTGAGCAGGTAGTGGATACAGTGTGGACACACTAGACATCGAGATGGTCCATGTCCTGGGCACAATGGAGCAAGACAGTGTAAGATTTAAATACATTACTCAGAGTGGTCTGTAAGTTATAACAAGGAATTGCTCATTTCTGGAATTTTCTATTTAATATTTTCAGACTGCAGTGACCCACTAGAAACCGTGGAAAGAAAAACCAAAGATTAGCACGCTCACTGCAACCCACTGTGGTTTTGTTTTCTTCCTGATTGCTGATACTGAGCACCTTTCTTTGTTGACCATTATTTGGGCTCCTTGCTCTTGTTTTATTTTACTTTTTACCATTGACTTGTATAAATTCCATTTATGATTTATTAACTCCTTGCCAGAAATACGATTTGCAGATATATTATTGGAATCTAAAGGTTGACTGGAGAAGATTTTCATTTTATGCTGATCTGTATATAGAGAATGATTTATGATAGCTTTTAGGTTTGGTTGGGTGCATTTCTTAAATCGATAGCAAGAGAAAGTAAAGGAACAGATAGCAGTTACAGATAGAAGCATCAGATGCAAAATATCGTAAAATCAGGAGCCTATGGCTCCACAGCAGTGTTGATCAGAGCTGTGTGATTGAGCAAAGACAGCACCGTCAGATCAGAGGCTTCCAAGCATCCAGTGGATGTGTTGGAGTCACCACGGGCTCTAACAGTTTTGTAGTAACTCCAGGACAAGCACTCACATCTGAAGCCTCGGAGCTAGGAATCTCAGGTGGAAAAGAACACGGGACATTTGTCTTTCCGGATCTATGTTCCTTTCCCCAGTATGATCTTCCAGTTCCATTGTTTACTTGGAAAATTCCTGATTTCAGTTTTCTTTACAGCAGAATGATATTCCATAGTGTATGTGTACTGCATTTCAGTACCCAGTCATCTGCTGGGGGACATTCAGGCTGTTTCCATTTCTCAGCTATTGAGAACAGAGCAGCCATGAACATGGCTGAGCGGCTATCTGTGGAGTGGCTCTCAAGTCCTTGGGGCCATGCCAAGGAATGGGTTAGCTGGGTCATGTGCGAGATTTGTTTTAGCTGTTGGAGTTTCTCCGTGTTGATTTCCAGTGTGGCTAGAGAGTTTGCAGCCCCCACAGTTGAGAGTTCCCTTTCGGCCACCTCCTCCAGCATTGCTTGTTGGTTGTTGATCTTTGCCGTTTGGATTGGGGTGGATCTCAAAGTTGTTTGGATTTGCATTTCCCTAACTGTTAGGGCAATGAACATTTTTGGGGGATATTTCTTAGCTATTTCTATTTATTTGTTTGTTTGTTTTGAGAACTTTCTTCTCAGATCCCAGGCCCGTTTTTCTAATGGAACTTTTGTGGGGTTTTTTTTTTGGGGGGGGTTTAATGTTTCTTTCCTTTTTTTGTTTTGAGACTTACTATGTGTACAAATGTTTTGCTTTCATGTGTATATGTGTACCATGTACATGCCTGTTACCTATGTAAGTCAAAAGGGGGTTTTTGATCTGCCGAAACTAGAGTTACAGGTGATTGTGAGTACCATGTGAGCGCTGGGAACCACGTCTCCATGTCCTCTGCAGGAGCACCCAGTGCTCTGAACCGCGGAGCCCTCTCTGCAGGCCCTAAGTTCTCTCTGTATTCTGGATTTCAGTCCTCTGCTCAGCTGCACAGCCGGCGGCTACTCTCTCCCCTTCTGTGGGCTTTCTCCTCACTTGGTGGCTTCATTAGCGGTGCAGAAGCTCTTTAGGTTAATGAGG